GAAGCTATCAGACCTTTTTCTAAAGTGTTTGTACCAATTTATACTCCTATCAGTTTATGAAAATTCCAGTTGTGTCACATTTTTATCAGTATTTGGCACTGTTGATATTTTTAATTTTGGATGTTCTGGTAGGCATGTATTGGTGTTTATGGTGACTCACTGTGAGATTTTATTCTTTGTTTCACTTTGGGGAAAATCAGTGAATATGAAGGGGTAGAAGAAAAAGGAAGAAGATTAAAGCAAATAGTTCCACTTTGAGATCTGATGCAGACAGCCACATTCTCTAAATCCTTTTTTTTTTTCACATCTTCCTATCCTAAGTGCATTATTCTTTGTATAGTCTTCTAATTCTTACTTCAGCTCATAATTGCTTTAAACCTGTTTGTTTTTTAATTCTCTTCAATAGTTTAGTTGTCTGAAATTCTTAAGCTTATTTGGTGCCTCGTACTGCTATTTATTTGTTGGACCTGGCTCATAGTGAACTTTTTCTTTTGTGGTTTATAATTTTGGATTGGGAGCTCCTATTAAGTGCTTTTTGTTTGTTTGTTTGTTTGTTTTTGTTTTTGAGGGTTCTATCTGGCCTGATTGTGAGGGTGTTTGTTGGCTTCAGCTATCTGGCCACTTTCTACATAAAAGTTCTTAGTTTGGGAGATACCAGCCTGAAGAAGATGGTCAGGATCCTCTAAATTTGAAGCCCAAATTTGGAGACAGGCTCAAGGTTATGAATTTACACAGAGACTTTTTTTTTTTTTAATACCTCATGCCTAGTCCTGGACTCCGTATTCGTTGGCTAATGGGCTGCTTTTTTTCTAGCCTGTCATTCCATTTAGGAGTAGCACACTTTGGAGAATCATATTAAGGTAGGGTCTTCATTCCAGGCCTCTTTTCTTGCATGCCCCCACCTCACCTCCTGTCCCTAGTGGGGTTTAAACCCAACATCTAGTTGGCAAGGTTGGCAGTGCCCTTCAGGGTCTCCATGTGGGCAGTGCTCCTCATCCTATGCCCAGTTTGTTTTCTGTTCCTAAAATTCTTTTTCCTTTCCACTGAGCTCAGCTATCACTGGAGTAGATATTTGACACCTGTTATCCAATATATAGAGGTCCTTTGTAGCAGGAACGTTTTAAATTTTTTTTCTAGTGCTCCATATTGCTGGAAAATGACAAGTCTGAGGGAATAAAAGTTACAGTCTTCTTTGATTCTGTGAAAAACAACTCATTTTAAAGATTATGTCTATCCTCAAAAAAAAAAAAAAAAAAAAATCAAAGGTCCACCAAGCATGTGACTTTTTGAATCATGATCTTTTTGCCCTGAGATATTCTCTCTTCTTTATAGGGTCCAAAACTGAGAAATAAATAAAGTAGTTTTTTGGGGCACATTCTGAGTATTCAGAAGGCAACCAGACATGTCCTTGGATGACATTAAGATGAACTCCAGTGACCTCCTGAAGAAAGAAGATCTAGACAGCGGAGGCTTTGGGAAGGTGTCCTTGTGCTTTCACAGAACCCATGGATTCGTGATCCTGAAAAAGGTGTACACGGGGCCCAAGTGCACTGAGTGAGTTGGGAGCAGAGGTGGGTGGGCCACACTCCCTGCTGACCACAGAAAGTAGCTATCAAGGACAGTACAGGTTTCAGGATGAGTCAGAACCTGATGTGAGTCTTGATACACCAGCTCTATGTCAGGGGTAATGGTTACTCTTACTATTATCATTATCTCTATTGAGGTTTCTGAGGCTAGTTAAACTAGGACATAATAGAAGAGAAGTGCAGGGGAAAAAATTAAAAAGAGAGAAGGACATGAGGGAGGCAATGGATATGTGAGGTGTTTAGTCAGCTTTTTTTAGCTGTGGCAAAATACCCCAACTTAAAAAGAAAAGGAAACTTAAAGGCGGAAAAGGAGGAAGTTTCCTCCCAACTTAAAGGAGGAAAGATTATTTTGGTTTTAGAGGGCTCAGTCCAAGGTCAGCTGACCATGGCAGTGGGAGCATGTGGTGGAGGATGCTACTGGCCTCATGGCAGCTGAGGAAGCAGGGTGGGTGGGAAGGGCCCCAGGGATACAATACACCTTTCAGAGGCAAGCCCCCAGTAAATTACCTTTTCCAACTAGGCTACTTTCAATAGCACCACCAGCTGGGCAAGGTTTCAATACAGGAGCCTTTGAGGCTCATTCTAGATCCAGAGGAATCAATGAAAGTAGACTTACTTGTTTGCTTCATGTTTGGGGTAAGGACCAGCCCTAAATATTAAAAAAAAAAAAAAAAAAGACCATTTATGAAAAGGGCCAAGAAGCCTGTTTTTCAAGCAATCAGTGGAGTGGTTTTTCTTTTTTTTTTTTTTAACCTGTCTCTTCTTTTTAAAGTAATTATATAAGAGAGGCCTTCTTTTATTGGACTGTCCAGAATAGTCTTCATCTGGCCATGTTGCTGCTGTTGGTGCACTTTTTGTTCATTGATTTACGTGTCTTGAATACCCACTGCCAGTTACTGGAAAGGAAGGGTGCAAAGACGAAAGAGAAGCCTCTCTGCTTTGTAAGGCTCATGGTCTGTATCTGAAGGAGATCAGTATGGTTCCCAATGTGACTGAAGCATGTGAGATGTGACACATTACAGGTGCAGAAATGCATACATTCCCAGGTGCTGAGGGAGAAGGGGCCAGATGTGCCCCGCTCAGTATGGCATCTTTCCCGCCCACAGGTACAATGAGTCGCTCCTTGAGGAAGGGAAGATAATGCACAGACTGAAGCACAGTCGGGTGGTGAAGCTCCTGGGCATCATCATAGAAGAAGGGGACTATTCCCTGGTGATGGAGTACATGGAGAAGGGAAACCTGATGCAGGTGCTCAAGGCCCAGGTAGAGGACATTTTGTAGTGCACTGGGTGCTGGCTCTATGGCTACAAGTGGGGAGTTCATTTATGGCTCTCTGGTCTAAAATAGTATCTTGGTGAATTGCCTCGTAGTTTGGATTATCTTAAGTCAGTCCCTCAGTAGCACCTCCTTGCCATTCCCCACACAGAAGGTTGTCTTTCCTTTTCTCAAGCCACCTATAGACCTCTGTGTCACCACTTGAAAGGTCCCCTCTGTGTCTTGCTGCTGCAGTTGACTTTTTACCAGACCTGCCAGCCTTTCCATGGCTCACACTGCAGAGAGAGGCTGTCTTCAGAAGCACATGGTCTGATATGGGGCATTTGTGTGAGAGATAACAAGTATGGGTTGATCAGTGAAAGCATATACACTCTTGTGACGGTAAGAGAAGATGGAATATTAGCAATTGCACTTCGATACTATTTAAGAAGCCTTTATTATAGGTTAAATACAGAACATAAGCCACAACAACAATGGATAAGATTTAAAACAGGAAAATAAAACTTGTTTATTACCAAAACCAAATAATTCTAAAATGTTTTTGAAAGTTTATGTAACTACTAAGATCAAGCTCTTGGTCTAGCTCCTGATTAATGCAGAGCAAATATGATTCCAGCAAGTAAAAGAAGGCAGGTAAATAAGTGGTGGTGTTTTAATAAACACCGATAGTCTGTTGTAAAGCAGAGGAGAAGCCCCCACCCCAACTGGGATAGATAAGAGAGGCTTCCAGTCTGAAGGACAAATAGAAGGTTTGAAGCAGACAATTAGGGAATAAGTGTTCCAGGCAGAGAGAAGGCAGGTGCAAAGGAAAAGGGTGCCTGATCTGCAGAACTGCAACACCCAGTGTGGCCAGAGTATACATCACATGTGAGGAATAGCAAGATGTGGCTGCCTTTATAGCAAATATTCCCCCTTTTCTACCTTCTACCTCCACTCCATAACTGCCACTCAATAGGCCTCTCTCAAAAATACAAAGAGGATAAAAGATGTCACTTATACACATTGTATTGTCCTTTGACCAGACTGCTGACCTTCTCCAAATGAGGTAAGAAGTAGGCACTTTGATTGGGAGATAAGTCATTTGTCACAGGAGGCATTCTTTAGGATCATGCAATGATAAAGTGCACCAGTCAGAGCTCAGGAAGAAAGTTAGGAGGATCCAAGAGAGGAGCAGGAGAGGGGTGGGCAGGAAAGCAACTTTACTTGCTTGACTTTTTTTTTTTTTTCTAAACCCAAAATTGTACCAAAGAAGAAGGGACTGGATATCATCTGCTTTTATGTGATGGTGACCCAACTAATGATGCTGTAGTTCAGCTACATTATGTGATAAATATGGTGTGAGGGGTAGACATGGAAATCTAATTCTGTCATTTAAATATTTTTCCTGTTAACCAACAACCAGTGTACCTAGATTTTCAGTGTTTAGCAAAATTAAAATTCAGCTACTAAAATTAAACTAGAATTGTTTATACAAACATGATGTTGATATAACTAGAATATAACTTTAAGTAATAGTGACCTGAGATTCTACAAACACCTAAAGGGTCTGATACCAATTCAATAAATAGATATTAATTCACTTCAGCATAGTTTTAGAAACAATACATATTGCACAGATTTTTACATGGTTGTAATCAGTGTGAACATATTTCCTTATATTCTTTTCTTTTTGTCTTTAACATTTTTTACATGCCCATTTCCTTGACATTTTTCATGTAGTCAGTGCAGATAACAGTATCACATTACAGGTGTATGCCATAGAAAATGTTTGTACATATGTTATTCATTCAAATGGTCTAGGTGCCATTCTATGTACTGAAAATACAATCATAAATAATAATAATGTGATTTTGATCACAAGGAATATAATCTTATAATATTTTTGTATGCTACAAGATTGACATTGAATTTTTGCTTTTACACTGATAAAATATGACATCAATACCTTTTCTCCCTTGGAATGGAATCTTTCTTAAAGGGAAACTTGTGTCACCATGACAGTAGTACTGCAGAGCATCTGGAGAGAGGAAACCTGGTGACTTAGTTCTCAGATTTAGTGCCACCACTCCTCAGTGGAATAGTGGCTCTGGTCGGTTTGATTACCTTGCCATTTCATAGACTTACTATCGCTTGTTTTAGATCAGTATCCCGCTCTCAGTCAAAGGAAGGATAATTATGGAGACCATTGAAGGAATGTGTTACTTACATGGAGAAGGTGTCATACACAAGGACCTGAAGCCCGAAAATATCCTTGTTGATGATAATTTTCACATTAAGGTAAACTATAAGCTATAGGCTTCTAGAAGGTTGGGTAATTTTGGTTGAGTAATTTCAGTTATAATTTTCCACTGAAAATCCATTTTTACAGATGGAAAAAGAAAATTGATTTTACAAAAATTAAGGTGAGGGGCTGGGGATATAGCTCAGTTGGTAGAGTGCTTGCCTTGCATGCACAAGGTCTTGCGTTCAATCAGTTCAAGCACTGCCAAAAAAAGAAAAGAAAGAAAAAAAAATTAAGGTGAAAGTAAAAAATAAAATAAGCTAAATTTCAAAGCAGAAAATTTTGATGCCCAAATGCTGATAAAGGAAGACCTGGCTCAACATATAATTGGCGATGGTGCTGTCATATGGCTTTACCAGGGATTGAAAGGACAGATGCAGATTTGATGGGGTTGGGAGATAAGTGTAAGGATGTGACTAATGTCATTTTGGGAGTAGTGCAATTGATTGGAGTAGGCTAGAAAAACACTTTCCTAGGTTTTGTTTCTTTTTCCTCTGTTAGGTTTTGAGATACAACATTTAAGAGTTGCCCCCTTCACTCTAGAATGGGCCATCTGCCTCATCATTTTTCCAGGGAATCTATGTTGCGATTCCTTTCTGGAAATGCAGGGGAATCCAGAGGGGTGCATGTGGAAAATCCTTAGAACTTCGATATGGCTAAGAGTCAGATCTGCAGCAAATAAACCATTTGGGCAGCAAAAACTTCTCTTTTGAAAAATAGCTGATTTAAAAGTATCTATTTCCTTTTGAAAATATTCTTTTCATTGTAGTAAAGGGAACAGAGAAAGGAAACCTTCTTTTGTTCACTCACGAGCAAGATTTAACTCCAGGAGCAACAGATCGAATTGGTTTTGGCAGCTGGAATCCAGGTGCAAGTACCTGGAAGAAGGGCTGAGATTGTAGCTCAGTGGTAGAGAGTTTTCTAGCATGTGCAAGGCCCTGGGTTCAATTCCCAGAACCACACCAAAACAAAACAAAGAACCTGAAAGGGGAAGCAGTGTTAGGGGAAGAACTCAGGACTTGCCTACAAGATTCTGTTCTAACCCTTTGTTCAAGTCTTGGAGAGATTTTTATTCTCGTATCTTTAAATTCTTTCTTTAAATTAATAGCCTTTCTCTTATATTCTGGGTTAAAATCTGCGACTTTTAGATAATCACTTGTTGTCATTCATCCCCAAATGCTTGCTTGGATTCCTAGAGACAAAAATGGAACTGTCACTTTTGCTAGTTTATTCTGACGTATTGGCTTGCCACTTCCTTCTTTGCTCTGTGTCTGACCTTGGTATTTTTCTCTGCTTTTCTTCTTGTTTTTTTTTTTCCTCCTCCTCCTTCCCATATCATTTTTTCTTAGGTTCAGATACCCAACAAGATCACAGTCTTTATGCTCAGTGTGTCTTGATCCATGGAAACTTGCATCCAATGGGCCTCTGGACACCATTTGGGGAGATAGAAGGTGTAGTACCCATTCTCTGTCAGCTATGTAAATCTGCTGAGAAGAAAGTAATGTTTTTCCACCCAGCCCTAGAAATAACTGAAAAAACATCCAGAATGAACCCGATTTGTTACTGTCATGTCAGGAATGCTTCTGCTTTCTCTCTCCCTTTTATTGCATAAGAATCAAGATACAGAATTTCATGTGAACATTTCTTGGGGAAGATTTTGCATGTCAGTGAGGAAACACATTTCTTTGAATGTGTTCAGAAGCTATTTTAAACCTGCCCAATGTAACCATTTCTGTTCCTCACATCTGTTAGATAAATCCCCAATTGAAAGCCAAATCTGGGTTGCTTATAGACTTCACACAGTGATCGTGTTGGTTTGATCTTTTGCAGATAGCTGACCTTGGTGTTGCTTCCTTTAAGACGTGGAGCAAACTGACTAAAGAGAAACACAATGAGCAAAGGAAAGTGAACAGCAACTCTGTGAAAAATGGCGGCACCCTCTACTACATGGCCCCAGAGCACCTGAATGACATCAATGCCAAACCCACAGAGAAGTCAGATGTGTACAGCTTTGGCATAGTTCTTTGGGCAATATTTGCAAATAAGGAGCCATATGAGAGTAAGACATTTGTAGAGGAGTGGGATTTTCTTATTAATCTAAATGATTATGTGAAATAATAGCCTTCAAGGAAATCAGTAAAGATTTATAATTTTTTGTTCATTTAATGGCACTTTGTCCCACCGGACTATGAGTTCCATGAGGGTTAGTGCCACATCTGATTTAGTCACTGTCATTTCCTCAGCGTCTACACACATACTGCCTAGAACACAGTAGGTACTTAGTAAATTTGTGTTCAGTGAATGAGTAATTCCATTTTAGGAATCCGAGATCTCAGATGAATAGGCACCTTGATAATGTATCTAACCTTTGGAAGTGCTATAAAATTTCTGGACTCTTCCTGGACAGAAAACTTGCTTATTTCTGCTTGTGAGGATTTAGCATACTATTGGCATACATTTCATACTGACACTCATTCACTTTGCCCTTCATTCAGAATTAATTTTTTTTCCAGTACTTACTGTGGGTACTTTATTGAAAAAAATAAAGATGAGTAAGTTGTGGTTCATGCAAAAGAACAGATACGTAAGTGGTCATTCTTCCAGTTGAAGTATATAAACTAATGGACATTTTCCTATATATTCTTTCTGGATGATTATCAGCTTCTGTGGTTTAATATTGTTTCTTTGCTGATGCCTCTGAAATGTCTATCTCTGGCCCTTGCCTGGATATCCACCTGCCTGTTAGATCCATTACATACATCAGAGGGATCTCCAAAGCACATTCTCATAAACAGATCTACAGTTTGTAAGTTCCTTTAGCTCACTCTAGCTTGGGTCCTCTTTGTATACTCAGAAAATGTCTTCATTATTTGTCTGTTGAGGAGGTCACCAGCTACCTTAGAGTCATCTCAGACTCAGCCTTGCCCCTTGTCTCCCACATCCAGGAAGATCTCAAAAGCTATAAATTTGAGGGGTATGTGTATGGTTTATACACATATATACACACGCACATACACACACAAGTCAAGATACATCTTTAATCCATTCTTTCTGTCACTACTAGCTTCTGTCTAGTTCAGACCCTTTGTTTTTCTGCCAAAGGCTCCTGTGCTGTCTACCATTCACATGGCAGTCAAAATAGTCCTCTTAAAAGGCAAACACAACCATTTCATTCCCCTATTTAAAATCCTTCCAAAATTTTTCATGGCCTTTAGGATTAAGCTCAGATTCCTCAGTATGGAATATGAGGCCCTTTGTAATCTGACCTTTGTCTCTCCCTCCTTTGTCAGTATGCCCAGTTTTACCAAACTAGTAATTTCTGGGCTGCATCATGATTTTTGTTAACTACCCCCCTACCCCTAGTCTCTTCATTCTCCTACTCTGGCCTGGAATCATCCTCCATAAATGGGCCCTCCTTCCCCATTTACCTGGATAACTCCTGCTTATTTTTCTGGACTTAGCAAAACGCCAGACTTTCTGTTCTAGTCATGATTGTGTTACCAGAGCCCCTTGTACTTCTATATCAACTTTCACTCTATATTTTAAGTCACTGTCATTAAACGAGCTTTCTAAAGGTGAGGGCTCTCCTGTGTTTGCATTTGTATTAAAATCTGGGAACTGTCGTTGGCTTTACACATAAAATCCATTTGTTTTTCCAGAAAGCAGCCTTTGTTTTGAATTTTGTCCTTTATCTTCAGAAACTAAATTGTTGTTTGATCATCTCTATGATGGAATATGTCTGCTTGTCACAAGGTCATTCCACCTCTACAGAACAAGGCTGCTATGCTAAAAGTTTTCTAGATAGAGACAAATTTGTGTTATTATCCAAGTTCTGTCATCTTAGTGCCTGAAAGCAGGACCCAAAAGTCTTAAGCAAAGATCCTCTTTGTCTTATAGATGCTATCTGTGCAGAGCAACTTTTAATATGCATAAAATCTGGGAACAGGCCAAATGTGGAAGACATCATTGAGCACTGCCCAAAGGAGATCATCAGCCTCATGGAGCTTTGCTGGGAGACGAACCCAGAAGTTCGACCAACATTTCCTAGTAAGAGCATCTTTTGTGACTATGCAGGATACATTCCCCACATTGATTTTCCTAAGATAATATAAGGAATATGGTTTGAGTCCTCAGAAAACCAAGTAACACTTGTAGTTTTAAGCTGACTTCCTAGAATGTATATTCTTGAAAAGTTTGGTAGAATTCTCCCATAAAACTTTCTGGACCTGGAGATTTTTGTTTGTGTTTGGGGTGGGGGCTTAGTTTTTAAACTATGAAGTCAGTTTTCTTTAAAGACTGTTCAAAAGATCTGTGTCATATTAGGGCAGTTGTGGTAGTTTATATTTTTTGAGCAAGTGGTTCACTTCATCTAAGTTATTAAGTTTATGTATAAAGTTGATTTTAGTATCTTTCATATATTTGATGCCTGCAGAATCTAGTGATAACTCCTATCTCATTCCAGATATTAGTAATTCATGTCTTCTTTTTTTCATTTCTGCTAGATTTTTATCAATTTTATTAATCTTTATAAAGATTTAGTTTTGGCTTCATTAATTTATTGTTTTTCTGTTTTCTAATTCATTGGTTTCTATTCTTTATTATTTCCTTCCTTATGCTCAGTTTGTATTTATTTTGCAAGTTCTTGAGATTATTGATTTGAGACCATTTTCTCTTTTCTAATGTGTATATTTATTGCTATAAATTTCCCTCTCAGCCTGGTTTTAGTTGTGCCCCAGAATTTTTGACATGTATTTTCATTTTCATTCAACTTCACATATCTTTTTTTTCATTGATCTTGAGACTTTCTCTTTGACCCATGTGTTATTTAGATGTGAGTTGTTTAGTCTCTTGAGTTTGGAGATTTTCTTGTCATCTCCCTGTTACTGATTTCTGGCTTGACTCCATTGTGGTCAGAGAACATATTCTGTGTGTTTTAGTACTCTCAAATTTGTTCAGATTTGTTCTGTGAGTCAGGCTGTGGTCTGTCTTAGTACATGTTCTCTGAGCACTTGAGGAGACTACTTGAGTAGAATGGTCTTTAAATTAAATTAAATCCTGTTGGTCGATGGTGTTGTGTTCTTGGTCTTTGATGATTTTCTCTCTACTTGTTCTTTGAATATTAATAGGGGTATTTAAATTTCCAACTGTAATTGTGAACTTGTCTATTTCTATGTTTAGTTCTGCCCTTCTTTGCTTTTTATAAATTGCATTTCAATTGCTGTCTTCTTAGAGGGTTGATATTTTTATCATTTTATAAATGTCCCTCTTTATGTCTTTGTTAATTTTGTTTGCTCTGAAGTCTACTTTATTAAAGATTAATAGAGCCATTCTGCTTTCCCTTTGATAAATACATCTTTTCCAACTTTTCACTTTAAGATGCCTTTGTCATTATATGTCAAGTGAGTTTCTTCTGACAAATTATAGTTGGGTCATGTTTTTTAAGTGTCTTCTTTTAATTGATGTACTTAGACCATTCACATTTGATGTAATGAGTGGTGTGTTAGGGCTCTAATCTGCCATTTCATTTTGTCATCCATTTGTTCTTAATGTTTTTCATTCCTGTTTTTCATGTCAGTCAACTTTCCATTACCATAATAAAATATCTGAGACAATCATCTTATAAAAGGAAAGGGTTTATTTTGGCTCACAGTTTTACAGGTTTTCAGTTTGCGGTTGGTTGTCCCCTTTGTTTTTGGGCCTGTGACAAGGCAGCACAATCTTGGCAGGTAACACAGGTAATAAAACTGTTCACCTCATAGCTGGGATTCGTAAGAGAGTGGAGCAGGAGGAGCCAGGTTCTGACATTCCCTTGAAGGATATGCCCTCAGTGACCTAACTTGCTTCCACTAGACCTCCCTTTCTGAAGGCTTCACATCTCCCCCAACAGCACCACAGTTCAAGGACTGTGCCTATAAAAAACGGATCTTTCAGGGACATGAAGATCTAAACTACATCATCTTTCCTGCCTTCTTGGGAGTGTTTGAACACATTTTAAAATTCCACTTTGATTCATCTACAGTGTTTTTATTGTATTTCTATGTGTGGTTTTTTAAATGGATACGCCAGTTATTACATTACCTATATATAATATATCAGTCTACTAACGGTGTCACTTTACCAGTTTGAATGTAGTGTAAGAATCTTAATGTCCCTTACTTCCCTTTACTTTCTCCTGTATATAATCTTGAATATTTCCCTTACATAGGTTTAGAACCCAACAGTAGATGGTGCTATCATTTTGCTTTAATTGTCATGATTTAGAAAATTCACGAAGAGAAGGAAAGTTTATTGTATTTACCCATTGTTTTGATTATTGTGTTGTGGTGTTCTTTTTCTGATACCAAATGTGTCACCAACTGAGTGTCCTAAAATTCAACTCATTTCTGACACTGACTACGCATAGCTGTCATCAGACTCCACATGTTTAAAGGCTTAATTCCATATGACTCTTCACTTCACATACCAGCTACAAATAGGGTACCCAGGCTATCCACACTTTTGCTCAGATGACTACAAATTCAGGTGTTCCCATGATTTCTACCTAGGTATGATAATTCATTAGAAAGTCTTACAGAACCTAGGAAAATTCTTATTTTTACTATGTATTAAACTCAGAAACACCCAAATAGAAGAGGTACATAAACCAAGATATGTCAGAGTGTGTGTGTGTGTGTGTGTGTGTGCGTGCGTGCGCACACACATGGGGCTTCATTACTGTCCTCAGGCACACACACCCTTCCAGCTCTTCTGTATGTTCATCAACCCAGAAACTCTTTGGACCCCATCATTTATGGTTCTCACAGAACTTCTATTATGTAGGCATGATAGATTAAATCATTGGTCATTAGTGATTGAACTTAATCTCATTCCTCTCCTCTTCTTGCAGTTCAAATGTGGTGCCAAAAGTTCCACCTCTAATCATGGCTTAATCTTTCTGCCGACCAGGACCTGTTCTGAAGTTATCTATCCAACTCCATTGCTCACCCATCCTCCTTATTACTTTAGGAGATTCCAAGTATTTTAGGAACTGCCTGTCAGGAACCAAATCAGAGAAAAGACCAATTCTTTACTTTTTAGTATACTATGTGTGTATTTCCTGGTTTTTCAACGTGTCATCTTTTATCAGTTGCTGTCTGTTTGGAGAACTTCCTCAAGTTATTCTCATAGGATAATAAATTCTCTTCCTCTTCCTCTGAGAAGGTCTGAATCTTCCTATGATTTCTGATGGATATTTTTGCTGGGTGTAGGAATCTGGGTTGACAGTTCTTTTCTTTTCACATTTGAAAAATATTGTAGCCTCCATGGTTTCAATTGAAAATCATGTTATTCTAATTGTGTGAAGTATTTTTCCTTATAGGTATTATTTTCCATTGTATTTATTTTTCTCTGGCTGCTTTCAAGATTTTGTCTTTGTCTTTATTTTCCACAAGTTTAGCTACATTTTTCCTGGTGTGGATTAACTTGGGTTTTTTCAGCTTCGGTTTTGCTTCGCTTCTTGAAATTGTATGTTTATACCTAGACATAAGTGGGAATCTTTCAGCCATTATTTCTTTGAGTGCTTTTTTCAACTGTATTTTCTACTGTGTTTCTTGAACTCTGATAACATAGAAACTAAATCTTTTGTTATGGCGCTGCAGGTCCCTGAGGCTCTACATTTTTTTTCCTCTCAATTAATTTCTTCTCCCTTGTTCAGATTGGATAGTTCTGTCATTTCATCTTCCAGTTAACTGCTTTTTCTCTGTCATCTCCATTTTGCTTTTAAGTCCATCTAGGAGCTTTTTATTTTGCTGTGTGTGTGAGAGTGTGTGTGTGTGTGCGCGCGCACGCGCACTCGTGCTTTCGCACGTGAATACATGTTGGGAACTGAACCCAGAGTCTTTAATACGCTAAGCATGTGCTGTACCCTCAACCCCATCCTGTATTTCTTTGCTGAGACTTTCTATTATTCCATTTGTTTCAAGCAGGTTCTTGAATTCCTCAATGAAGAACTATTTTTATCATGGATGTTTTAAAAATCTTTACCAGTTGTACCAACATCTCTATGTTGGAATCTATTGCATTTTCTTACTCTAGTTTGGAATTTTTCTGGTTCTTAGTGTAATGTATGATTTCCCAGAAGCGTATATATTTTACTATATTATAAGATTATACATATTCTTTAAGCCTTCTGTTTTAGCTGATTTTTTCTGACTTTGCTTTGGAAAGGGAATAGTGGTTGCCACCTTGCTGATACCAGGTAGAGGTAGAAGTCCAAGTTCTCTGCTCAGACCCCATTGACACCCAAAGCAGGGTCTTCTTTACACTGTTGGTCATTGCCTAGTGTTGTGGCAGAGTCTACATGGTCTCCACAACCACTGCAGTTGAAGTGCATCATCACCACTGGACAACAGTGGAAGTCCCAGGTCTTTGACAGGCTTCCTCTGATACTTACCCAACAAGGTGGAGAAGAGGCATCTTGTTAGGCCCTGTGTGGTACAAGTCCAGGTTACCCTTGTGGTGTCTGGACACCAAGAGAATAGAAGGGCTCATTGTCAGCTAACAGGCAGCACAATCCTATCTTCCTATTTGACTTTCTCTAACCTCACCCTGGTGGGAGTACTGGGGTGCCTTGTCACTATCCCACAAGGTTGCAAGTCTAGGCTTTCTACTTGACCTTGGCTTATGTGGGTGGAGGTGGAATTATAATTTTTTTTCTGGGGTCATTAGCTTCAACAAAGTGATTATTGATTAAATTGATCAAACATTTTCTATTACTAGGCTACCCCTTGCTTAATGCTATGTTGAGAAAGATTAGGCTGTTGTTGCTGCTGCTGCTGCTGCTGCTGTTATTGTCTGTGTGCTTGTTGATGTTTCTTGGTTGCTAGTCTTTCAGATCCAACTGTTGTTTATGAGCAAAGAGAAAATCCAGTGAACTCATTACCATGTATGTGTTTTCTCAGCCATGAGGTCCCTAGTCAAACTGCCTTCCTTTCTCCTCCTTCCAAAGGATCCATACCTTTATTTGATACATAATATCTTCCAAATGATTCATATATTTATTTGATACATAATATCTAATATCTAATCCTTTATTCCCAATCCTTATTCTGAGTATCCCGTCCTGTCATAAATCTGATGCTAGAGAGATGGAAACAGAGTTCACTCATCCTTGTCCACTTGGTGATTAACTCACACCATTAGGGCTTTTGCTGCAGCCAGAGCAAGTGTACTCTGTGAGACAGAAGCTCTTGGTTTCTAGTGTTTTCTAACCCTTCTCCTGTCTGCTGGTATGTATTCTTGTTAGTCTCTTCATCAGAGTCAGTGATTTGGAGTTTAAATTTTTATCTTACTGCTTTGTCCACAGATTGAGGTAAGAAATTCAAAGACGATAGATTGCTAATATTTTAATTTTATTTTAGAAAATTAAGAAATTTAAAGGACTATTTTTTTCATATAGGCGTTGAAGAAAAATTTAGGCCTTTTTATGTAAGTCAGTTTGAAGAAAATGTAGAAGAGGATGTGGAGAGTTTAAAGGTAGGTAATATAGCAGATGCTCAAAATATTCACGTCAATGTATATATTCTCAGTCATGAAAACCAAAGCAGTGTAAATTGGTACTGAGATTTGAGGTAAACTAGCTTGGTGAACACAAAACAAATTAGCACTTGTAATGCAAATATCATTATGTTGGCAAAGTGGACTCATTCCTCCATTATACTCATTAAACGAGAGAAAATACTTATAGCAATATGAAAACAAAATCACAATGTCACTGGAAAATACATGGATCAGCCATTTTGAGGAATTCTTATAAAACAAAGACAGCAGGATTTTATATGGTAAGATTTGGAAGAGGGGGAAAATAATAACCTAAAGCATTGCTGAGGAAGAAGTACTAGAGGTGCAGATGGACACTGATAAGGAGTCATTTGGGAACCACATTTACACTATCTAGAAGAGTTGGCTCCTCCCTGTGCTTCCTTGTACTTAGTAACAGAGGACAGTGGCATCTAAGGCTGAAGCCATCGTTTTGGTGTCCAGGGTCAGAGAGGTACACCAAAGCCCAGTTATCAGCTAACCAACTAAGAGGAATAGAGACCTTCCTCACTTTTACACTCATAAATCAAATTACTGTCATACACCCAAAGTCATGAAAAGGAGACTTCAAAAAATAAACCAGGCAAGCAAATAGAGATTTCAGAATTTAAAAAAAAAAAAAAAATCAGGCATAATTGCCCACCTTTTGAGGGATTCCCTACAGTGTAAAAGAGATGTATCCAGTGCAAAGCAAGAAGCATCAAAGGGACATCAGTAAAGATAAACATTAAGGCAAAAAAGCATTACCTCAACCATCAGGAAGATTTCAAAATGCTCCCAAGAAGAGGCTCCAGAGAGGGGACTCCAAGTAGAAACTCTGGAGAGAGAAGCCCTGGAGGAGAAAGAAGATGAGGACAGTGAAGATATTGTGAACCCCTCACCTATGGAAAGTGAGACTCCTCAGTCCTGCCACCCCTAACCTGTCAGTTCTGATACTGAGGATGTAACCAAGAGGAAGAACCATAATTTCTTGGAGTGCAAAAGACAGAATGACCTCTGCTCATGGTTCTTAACCCTGAGGGCCCAGGTACCCACCCTGGCCAGCTGCTCTGAGGCCCCCAGAGTAGTGATTCTGAGCAAAGCCTGGGAATACTTGCAAGCCCTGTTTGGGGGGGGGGGGGGGGGCGGTAAAAAGAGGATGGATACAGAAAAAATGCAGCTCCCGTGCTGGCAGCAGCAATTGCAGAAAAGAATCACGTTCCTCAGTGGGCTACTAACTGACCAAAAAGCCTGACTCTTCTGTCTTAGAAAGACAGTTTATTTTTTTCCTCACTTTCCCCCTTAGTAATTTGCCCATTTTGGTTATAGTGGTGCTGTCTGAACAGTAGATCCCAAAATGCATTGCAGCCAGTGCACACACAGTTAAGGGCTTACATTCTTGGAAACTTTGAAACCCACCTCTCCCTCTTTCCTGACTCTTGGGAGTGCTGTGTCCTCTCTGGTGCCTTTGGCATCTTAGCAGACAGCTGACTGAGGAGGCTTGGGGTCTGCTTAGCTCACTAGCTCTGAAGAAAAGGCTGACAGATCCTATGTAACAGGTGGTGGATGAGGGTGTGGGGACTCCAGCCTGCTTGAAATCTCACTCTCTGGGGGCTGGGGATGTGGCTCAAGCCGTAGCGTGCTCGCCTGGCATGCATGCGGCCCGGGTTCGATCCTCAGCACCACATACAAACAAAGATGTTGTGCCCACCGAAAACTAAAAAAAAAAAATCACATTCTGCAGGAAACTTCGGCTAGGAAAGGATGCTCCCATTGGTGTCTCTGGGGGTGATGTAAAGATAGCTGGGCCTGGATGCTCTCCCTGAAGCTCCTTTTTCTGGGAGACACCCAAGATATCTTAGGTAATGGCAAGCTCACAGACTTGAACAACACAGACCATTACCTCACTGTCAGACCCGTGACCTGAGGAGTGCAAACCTTTAGAGTACATTATGATGTTAGGTGACACCCACCCCACTGTGAATGTCCAGACCTTGAGAGCACTTAAAGAGCTTGGCCTGTTAGATTATTTATCTTAGAGTCCTTTTGGCCCTCTCCTCCAAGGGAGGAACAGTTATGTCCCTACAAGGGCCTTTTTTTTTTTTTTTTTTTTTTTTTTTTTTTGGCTCATTCTGCCTTTGTTATGCAGTGGGCTCTACAGTGCTCCTTCCCAAGATGAGAAATATTTCCCCAAGAAACAGGAAAATGGATCCTGGTTTGGGGTTTAGGGAAGGCTTGGAATCCTGGCTCATGAACTTGTTCTGTGTCCAGGTGTTTTCCAAGGGGCATTTGAGGCCTGTCTTTGGATTTTTTCTCAAGGCAGGTATAAGGCACCTCAGAAGGAAGCACTGTGTAACTCTTCCTCTTCCTATCTGCCTCTCATCTCAATCTTTGACTCTGTTCAAAGTTCTACTGGAACCCTGCAAACCTGTCCTCCTCATGCAACTGCAAGGAGCTTGCTGGCTCTATAACCACTAGCCTCATTCTCTGCCAGTCTAACGTGAGTCAAGACCCCTTTCCCAGATCTTGGCCTTACTGAGGTTCTGGGGAGAGCCACTGAGACTCATCCAGTGCTTCAGGGTCTTAAAAGCACCACAGGAGCTCTGTTTAGCCACCCATGATGGATTTTGCCCCAGTTGGATTCTGTATGTAGCTCCTAGTAGAATCCAGGTGCAGCCTCCAATCTGGGAAAGTCACCCAAACCAGCAGGTGTTATGTGGGCAAGCACAGGAACCCCTAATCCTATCCTGAAAGAAGGGTCAGATCCTCTGTTGCCTTCTGGCTCTGGGTTTGGAAGTGGAAGAGCAGGAAAGGAAAGCACCGTCTGTGGCTCTGTAAAACCAGCTGTTACTTCTAAATCTGTTGCCCACAGTAGTTTATTTCTAAATGTGCTTCCAGGCCTCACAACCCCAGGGGAACTTTTGGAATTAGCACTCTACTTTCTGGAGCCAGATTTTTGGGAGCCAAAATACTTCTGGAATTGTCTTGGGAGGACAGATTCGGAATAGGTTATTGATGTTTCAGATGAATAGCTTGTGTTTTATAAGCTACAGCTGGGTATTATTCTGTGTTGTTCAAGTCCGTGAGCTTGCCATCACCTAAGATATCTTTTATACTATATTTTTGTATGCATTTTATAAAGTAGTATTAACTGTTTCTGTACAAGGAAAACCTCCTGGGCAATTCAGTGGCAAAGATTTGATTTTATTTTGAAAGGCAAGTTGACCTGAAATTTTATCTTTAGTTGTGATTGCCTGATTTTAAACTGTTGACTTTGGGACATATTTTAATAAAAGATTTCTCAAATAAAAAAAATATATGTACACATATTTCTCTCTACATGTGTATATATATATATTGTGAAGAAGTTTTTGCTAATTATCTTAAAATTTAGGTAAACTATACAAATTTCTAGGGGAAAATATTTAAAAACTGACTTAAATGATTCATATGGAGATAAAAACCTAAATTATTCCTATAACCATTAAAGGATATTGAAACAGTAATGAAAAATTTTTCTATAGAGAATATCTCACAAATTGCTTTGTCAGTGTGTTCTATCAAATACATCAGTTATATACAGGTTTTTCCAGATAATGGAGCTGAAAATACTCTTCCAAGAGAGTTGTATGCTAACATAATTTATTTTGTTTTAGTATAACTTTGATTCCCAAACCTGGAAAAGAAGGTATAAGAAAGGAAAATTATGGGCTGGGTTGTGGCTCAGTGGTATAGTGCTTGCCTCCCATGTGTGAGGCACTGGATATAATTCTCAGCACCCCATATAAATAAATGAATAAAGGCCCATCAACAACTAAAAAAAATTAAAAAGAAAGGAATATTACAGGCCAATTTAATTTAACAGTATAAATGCAAAAATCCTGCTGGGCATAGTGGTACACGCCTATAATTCCAGTGGCTTGGGAAGCTGAGACGGGAGAATCTCAAATTCAAAGCTAGCCTCAGCAATTTAGTGAGGCAGTAAGCAACTCAGTGAGACTCTGTCTCTAAATAAAACACCAAAAGGGCTGGGGATGTTGCTCAGTGTTTTAGAGTTCAGTTCAGTCCCTGATATCAAAAAAAAAGATAAAAATCCAAAACAAAATACTAACAACCCGAATCTATCAATAGACAAAAAATAAACTGGATTTATTCCAAGATATAAAGTTAGTTTTGGAAAGTCTGTCATAACTCATTACATTATCTTTTTCAGGGAGAAAAAAAAAACTTTTCAATAAGTGCAGAAAAAATCAGTTGATAAAATATAATATTTATTCATGATTAAAAATATAAGCAATCTAAAAAAAGTCCTTATTCCCACATTTTTCATATTTTCTATAAGTATTATTTCTTTCATAAGAAAAATGTTTTTATTAGGGTAAAATATACAACACAAAATATACTGTTTTAGCCTTTTTTTAAGTGTACAATTTAGTAGTATTAGGTACATTCACGATGTTGTGCAACCATCCTCATTGTCCATTTCTAGAACTATCAATCATCCCAAACACAAACTCTGTTTACTAAATAATAGCTTCCTTTTCTTTGTCTCCTAGCCCCTGGTAATCTTTATTTTCTGCCTCTGAATTTGCCTATTCTAGGTAGATGTAGAAATAAAGTTACACAATATTTTCCATTTGCGTCTGGCTTATTTCACATAGTATAGAACATTTTTAAGGTACATTCATTTTGTAGCATGTATCAGAATTTTATTCCTTTTTTGGCTGAATAGTGTTCCATCATATGGAAACATAACACATATTGTTTATCCCTACGTCTGTTGTTGGATGTTTGGGTTATGTCCAGCTTTTAGCTATTATAAATAATGCTGCTGTGAACATTAGTGTACAGTGTCTGAGTTCCTACTTTCCATTCTTTGACATATATCCCTAAGCATGGCATTGATAGACAATATGCAAATTTTGTGTTTAACTCTGTAAGAACCTTCAATTTTTCAAGTAGCTGCACCATATTAGATTCCATACCAGCAATGCACAAGGGTTCCACACTTGTTACTTTTTGTTTCATTTCAGCAATTCTAACAAATATAAAGTAGTATCTCATTGTGGTTTTGATTTACATTTCTCTAAGGATTACTAATGTTGAGCATTATTCATATACTTATTAGTCATATGTACATCTTCTCTGGGGAAATATTTCTTCAAGTCTTTTGTCCAATTGTGTGTTTATTGTTGAGCTGTAAAAATTCTTTATATATTCTCTCTGTTCATCTCTTATGGAATATATATGATTTGCAAATATTTTTCCCATTCTATGGGTTGTTCTTTCACTGTCTGGATAAAATGATACACAGGTTTTAATTCTGACATAGTCAGATTTATCTGTATTTATTTTTGTTGCTTGTACTTTTAATGTCATGTTCAAGAAATCATTGTTAAGGGTTGGGGTTGTGGCTCAGTGGTAGAGTGGTCACCTAGCACATGCGAGGCCCTGGGTTCGATCCTTAGCACCACATAAAAATAAATAAAGATATTGTGTCCAACTACAACAAATAAATAAATAAAAAGAAATGATTGTCAAGAACAATGTCATGAAGCTTTCTAGGAAGGTGGTGGTTGTTGTTTTTTGTTTTTGGAGCTGGGAATTGAACCCAAGGCTTCATACATGTGAGGCAAGCACTTTACCACTGAGCTACATCCCAGCCTGTTCTTGTTGTTGTTTTTCATACTTGAGATTGAATACAGGGCACTCTACCACTGCTACATCCCCAGCCTTTTTTATATTTTTATTTTGAGACAAGCTTTCACTAAATTGCTAAGGTTAGCTTCAACTTGCAGTCCTCCTGCCTCAGCCTTCTGAGTCCCTGGGATTACAGGCTTTTGCCACCATGCCCAGCAATGTCATGAAATTATCTATTTTTTTTCCTAAGAGTTTTAGCACTTAAGTTTAGTCTCTAATCCATTTTAAAAACACTTATCAAAAATCAGTTGTGCATATATGGGAGGGTTTATTTCTAGACTCTCTATTCTCTTCCATTAGTCTATGGCTTTATGCCATTGTCACACTGTTTTTTTGATTATTATAGCTTTGTAATAAAATTTGAAATCAGGAAATGGAAGACCTCTAACTTTGTTCTTTTGTAGGATCATTTTGGGTATTTGGAAAAAAATATTTTCTTTTTAAACATTTACTACTTTAAGATTTGTATGAAATTTCTATGAATTTATATGAATATCTTCTTCTCATAGTATTTTTCTGGTACTTAGTCTCTTCTGCTGTTTACTTATTTATCCTCTTAATTATAGAAAGAATATCCAATGAAAAATGCAGTTTTGCAGAGATTGCAGTCTCTCCAACTTGATTGTGTGGCAGAACCTCCAAGCAGGTCAAATTCAGGTAACTTACCCTCTGGTGGGAATCTATTTATTCACTTATTTCTTTCCTCATTTGTTCCTTCTTCTCTCTAAAATATTACTTAGAAACCCATGGGACACAGAAAAAGCTATAAACTTGGACACCTGCCTCGAAGGCATTTATAATATATTTGGGAGTCCCAGTTACGGATCTTTGAAATATTAAGTAACAGTATGCTCACCAAAATGTGGGACTCCTAGAAGAGGTTGATCGGGAGCACAGGTGGATGCTTTTTCATTATGCCCAAAGGGAAGCCACTTCCATCTGCTCTGGGACAAATGACTTAATTATAAACCTCATCCATAAAAGTCATAATTTAATTGTTCCTGATTCCATAGGGCTTTTAAATGAAAGAATTCATGGGAAGCATGTAGGACAAGGCTGTAGCTATTCTTATTTCCACCCTGAATTGCTCCAAGGTGACCACCACCTTCTCTGCTCCAGCCAAAGTTTCTTAGAAAGACTTAGTCATCCTTCATTCCAAGGAAGACAGTCATCTCTGTAACACTCACTTTTCTGTTGTTTGTTTTAATTTCCTAATTTCCCTCATGTTCTCTTGGCTGCTAGTGAGAAGCTCCTACTGATCATCTGTACTTGTAGAAAAAAGACCATCTACTAAATGCTTTTAACTTTTCCTTGTTTTCATTCAGTTACTGAGGGACAGATTCATGATGGTACTCAGGTTTTATTTTACTTTTTGGTGTTTCATGAAACCCACATTGATCATTTCTTCTCCTCTATAGAACAGCCTGGTTCGCTGCACAGTTCCCAGGGACTCCAGATTGGCCCTGTGGAGGAGTCCTGGTTTTCTCCCTCCCTGGAGAACCCACAAGAAGACAGTGAGCCCATCTTGCAGCTTAAACTCCAGGAGGAAGCAAGCTATCATGCTTTTGGCAACCGCATGGACAAGCAGACAAAACAGCAGCCCAGACAGAATGTGGCTTACAACAGAGAGGAGGAGAGGAAACGAAGGGTCTCTCATGACCCCTTCGCACATCAGAACCCTTATGAGAATGTTCAGAACACCAGTGGAAAAGGTCTTGCTTATCCCAATGCAGCCAGTCATAGCAGTGCAGTAAACCAACCGACAGGGCTAACCAGCCAACCTCAGGGACCATATTGGAACACTGACTTATACAATGTACCTGGGTTTGGGATAAGACCACTGGATCCAGTGACAGCAAGTACAGGATTTTGGTATGGGTTGAATTCCAGCCACATGTCTAATCTGTATAAAACTCCAGTGCCTGAAACCAACCTACCAGCAAGCACACCCACCATTCCACTCTACTCCTTTCCATCAACAGGTAAACTGACCTTTAAGAATCATAATCTTATCTTTTTTTCTAAAATGTTTTTGAAAATAAAGCAGCCATTACCTGTGCCATAGATTCTAAGTTATGGATGGGGACAGAGAGAAGTTGTACTTGCCACTGTGGAATGGTCTCCATCAGACTCCTTGTTCTGGGAATATTTCAGTTTTGTTCTAGGATTCATCCCAGCTGCCCACAGATATTGGTAACAGGTCCTTGTAATTGGTAGGCATCTTCTGCTCTAACTTGAATCACCTAGTAGTCTCCAGTGTTCCATGCGGTGGGAATATTCTTGCTTGCTATTTTTTGAAGGTAAGAAATAAGTCTTAGAAATTTTTATTTCTTGTCTTACACCTTTTGTGATGAGAAATTTTCTTTGAATTTCCATATCTCTGGTAAAGTCAAAGCTAGTTGATAATAGTTACAGATTCTCTAGAGAGGTGGTTTAATTTAATATCCAGTATCATTACCAAACAATACTTATTTCTCCCACCTTTGCTACTTGAATTTCATCTATTGATGCTACCTATACTGTGCTCTAGGAATCCTGAAATTAGCTTCGGTAGTGGAAGCTTTAAAAACCACAGAACTTTCTGCCCTGGACATGTAGTTCAGTGGTAGAGTACTTGTCTAGCACACTTGAGTCCTAGATTGCATTATCTTTCAAAAGGGTAAATTCTCCAGAAACCTCCTATGAAAACATTCTTTTTTTTTTTTTTCTATGGGTTTTATTATACTATCTATGGAACGTAAAATGTTGGATTAGACATGAACTGGGATCTGTGTCATACCTAATTTACGGGAGTGAAATGTCCTTTTGTTTCCCTTTGTGACTGAAACTGAAACATCTCCATATCATCTGATCACTTAAGATTTCATCCCATAATAATTTCCAAAGCACTCCCCGGTTTGTGCCAGGTGTTTTCTAGGGAATGAAGAGATGTAACAGTGAAAAAATAAACAAGTCTGAGTCACTTCCCACATGGAGCTTAAATTCTTGTGGTTAAAAGGCAGCGCGTAAACCATTATAATGTGTCAGTGTTATTCATTGTACATGAATAACCAAAGCTCACTAGTTTAGTACCCCAAACCTTTTTCCATTCTCACTCTTCCTTTGTTACTGGTTCTGCCAACCATGAATATATAGCACTCTTACCCCTTCATGATTCTGAGATGCTCTCTGTTGGGAAAGCAAAACTTCACTAGAAGCAATAGTGGAATTTTCTGTTTCTGACCCTAAGGATGATCCTGTAAAGTACTAAGTTTGTAAATGAACAAGGAGAGTTTTTCATTGCAAATTTAACCAATTCTTCTACTTGCTTTTGCTATCATCAAATAGACTTGACTCTGCACCAAATGTGAGTTTTCTAATTCACCCTGCTATATATACAAGGAGGTCTGTACCTGTAAATACAGAAGGGAAATAGTTCTTCATGTTGATGAAATCTCCCAGGATCCTTCCTTTTGTTTTATGCACTACCTTAAGTGATGTTAGAAAGGGACAGCTCACGTGAATCAGTTAGGAGTCCTGAGAACTAGTCCCTTGGTGGCATTCATTATCTCTGCATGACTGGGCAAATCATTTTGCCTCTCCAGTATTCATTATCCTCATTTACAAATGAAAATGTGACATTAGAAGATTTACACGTTACAAGTTCTCACAGATCCCAGTTCATGATTAGACATGAACTGGGATCTGTGTCATACCAAATTTATGTGAGTGAATTTGTGTTTCTAATATTGCATTAGTTTCTTCATTTTGCAACTTTTCTGGGATTTCCAGTGGCCAGATGTGGGCTAGACGCCTGCAGAAAGCACGGATTCAAAAACAGGCATCTGAGTAAAGAGGTGCAGCATAAAATCCTGGCACTGGGTCAGGTATTGTCTGACTTAACGTCTGTTTAACAGCCTGTGGTTCACTGTTAGTTAACAGAGTGTCACCATAAACTAGAACAGTAGGCTACAAGAATTAAATGAGATAAGGCAATTTACTGCTATGCTGATAATGTACTGAGTGGCCAGTAAATGGTAGCTGCGGTTATCATCACTATTAATCTCCTTAATAAACGTCACTTGCAAAAGACAGGGTCTTTAAAGTTGGAAGGCCCTTTAGAGATTGTAGTCAAGGATTCTTTACGAGGATTCCAGTTTTAGCAGTTTCACTGACCACCCAAAATTACAGATATCACATATTTCTTACATCTGTCATTAGAGATGGTGCCTAGTTCCTTTGCCTTCATCAGAGAAATTTAACCAAGTAAGTGTGGTATCCACTCCATCTGGGCTGCCTCATTGAGGACCAGATGTACTGAGGTTCCTAGAGCTAAATTTAATATACCTTTTTCTTAGAACTGTCTACTTTCCTCCTCCTCTCTCCTGAAAAGATCTGCTAAATGTTCTGTAATTACAGTACTAGCATTTGATAGGTTCAACTCAGCATGAATTGGGGTTTGGGTTTGTTGTATATAGGAGGAGAACCCTTAACAGATATTTGGGTAGTGGGATCCTGCTGGGAAATGTGGTTGATCCTTGTGTCATCCTTCATCTACCCCATTTTCTGGCTTGGTAGCACCCACACTGGTAGAACACCTACAACATAAAATTGACCATCTTAATTATTTTTAGGTGTACAGTTCAGAGGCATTGAGAACATTCACACTGTTGTACAGCCGTTGCCACCACCCATCTCCAGAATGTCTTCATCCTTCCAAACTGAAACGTCCCATTAAACACTAACTCTCCATTCCCTCTCCCTCTCTTCCCTGGCAACCACCTACTACTTTCTGTCTATGACTTTGATTACTCTGGGTACCTCTTATAAGTACAGTCATATAGGTTTGTCCTTTTGTAACTGGTTTACTTCATTTAGCAAATGTCCTCAAAGTTCATGCATGTTACAGCATGTATCAGAATTTTCTTATTATGCCAGTTGCAGTGATATGTTGCCTGTAATCCCAGCATTCAGGAATTTGAGACTAGCCTGGGCAAGAAAGAGATGCCCATCTCAAAAAAATTGCTTCTGTTTAAGGCTGAATATGATTCATTGGGTATATATACTACATTTTGTTTATAGGCACTTGGTTTGCTTTACCTTTTAGCTATTATGAATAATGTTGTTATGAACACGGGGGTAAAAATATTTCTGCATTCAGTTCTTTTAGGCTATAGGAATTACTGCATCATATGGTAATTCTATTTTATGTTTTTTTGAGGGAACTCCATACTGGTTTTCACCATGACTGTACCATTTTATATTCCCACCAACAATGTACAAGAGTTTCATTTTCTCCACATTTATACCAACACTGTTTGTTTGTGTGATGGTTTTAGAGTTCCTAATGGGTGTGAGGTGGTGTAGCCACATTTTAAAGACAAAAGATGTTAGGAATGGTATAAGATAATTACACATTTGGAGTAAACCCCAGTTCCTTTACCATGCCATATTTTTTTTCTCTTGCTTAATGGATTTACTTGTATGTTTCTGTCTCTTCAGATGAGTCCCCAAAATGTTGCATATACAATAGTACTGGCATACAGATTGGAGCCTATAATTATATGGAGGTTGGTGCAGTGAATTCACAACTACCAGAAAACATATGTGCAAATGTGAAAGAAGAGCCACTTTCCAAGTTCCGAGATATCTTCGGTAAGATGCTCTTTAAAGACTTAGTGCTGGGCTGGGGATGTAGCTCAGTGATAGAGGACTTGCCTAGCATATGCAAAGCCCTGGGTTTTGATACCTAGCACCACAAAACAAAAAACCCAAGAAACAATGTCTAGCAACCTTGATTTTTCTTACTTGTTGAGAGGGATATAATGGAATCTTAAAATTTCTCTGATGATTCTTCCTGAAAGTTATTCAATATCTCCTCCTGATAAGTTATAAAGAAATCATATGTAATCTCCATATAAGTTCTTTGTTTTTCATGCAGGGATAATCACAGTATCTAATTCATAACTCTATTATGAAAATTAAGGGAGTCAATATGTGTAAAGAGTTTGGATACTGCCCGGTACATAGGAAGATCTATAAAGCATTAAACTTTGATCATCATCAGTACTACTGTTTAGACCTGAGAGAAATTGCTCTATTATGTCCCCATCAAAGGGGATTCTGTAAAAAGTGGAAGACTGTACCCTCACCAGCACCTCTGTAATGAAAATAAGAGGGCTGTCTCTCAGAGGGTTTAATTCTGCAGGCCTATAACATTAATCTTAAGACACAGGCTGGGAAAAGGGGTCAAGAGGTCAAATAAAAAATTGATTTAAAAAAAAGAGGTCAAATGATGTGATTAAGAATCCAGCTTTCTGATTAATCTTGGGGTTGTCGAAGTTTTTCTATAAATGACTAGATAGTAAATACATTAGTCTATGTTGGACCTGAGGTCTCTCTTGGAACTACTCAAATACTACTAATTCATGGTAGTATGAAAGCAACCTCAGAAGATATGTACATGGATAATCATGACTGGATTCCAATAAAATTTTATTTACAAATCAAGTAGGGGGGCAGAACTTCTACCTATAGATGTTCTTAACTTTTGAGGAACCGAAGGTGTCTTTAAGAATCTGATGAAATTCAGGGCTCCTCTCCTAAAGATTCTGACAAAATTTGGCAGATATTTTGGGAGGTTCTTGGACTGCTAATATCCAGTAATAGCAACAGAAACTACATTGTCATGGGCTGAGGAAAGAATGGGAGATGAGTAGGAAAAATCAGATGTCTTTTTCTTTGTATTCAGCATACTGAGATAGGGTAAGGATCGAGTAATATGGTTTGTTTGTGATGGTGGTTTTATAATTTTGTTTCCTTTATTAATTATTTTTCTGAAGAGCTGAAGGGATAGAATCAGTAGAAGGAGAGGTGGCATGGCTATAGGAAAAAAGGGGACAGCAGTTTGGGGAAGAGGAGAAAATAAAGGTAGGAAAGGGTCTAAAAATGAACCTTGAAGAATATTGATACCTCCTACCTCATCCCTTGAGAAATAGGGAGGGCATAGTAACTGAACAATGGTCTTAGTGTCTCTGGTTAACTAAGAGGAAAGTGAATTGCATAAGCAGGGTTAGGAGTGGGGGTAGTGTAACTATGGCCAGATGTAAGTGGAAAATCTTCAAAAGGAACAAAAATGTGTTTTTTCCTGTCACATCCAGGAAGATCTGACATAAATAGGCCACTGAGTATGGTTGATTGGAATCCTCAAACTAATAGCCAGGGAAGGGTTTTGTTCACAACACTATGGGCTGTGGTCCAGGTGTATTTGCCAAGAGGAAGGGTCACACACAGACTCAAGGCCATTGTGCATATTGAGTTCATCCAGTGAGTCAGTAACTAGATTAAGAAGCCATCTTTTTCTGCTTGCTGGTATTCTTCATTTTGCTGGGGCTTTTCAGCAATCTAGGAAGCTAGATTGTTCAAATGGGTTACAGCCTGACACCTTCTTTCTTTTCTATTTGGTAGATAATACCTCTAGTCTGACTGCCAAACATTTGAACCCTGTCAGGGAAAACCTGGGAAAGCACTGGAAAAACTGTGCCCGTAAGCTGGGCTTCACTGAGTCTCAGATTGATGAAATCGACCATGATTATGAGCGAGATGGACTGAAAGAAAAAGTTTACCAGATGCTCCAGAAGTGGCTGATGAGGGAAGGCAATAAGGGGGCCACCGTGGGAAAGCTGGCCCAGGCGCTCCACCAGTGTTCCAGAATAGACCTCCTGAACGCCTTGATCCATGTCAGCCAGAACTAAACCTGGAGGGGCATGGGCAACATGAAGCAAACTCCTCACTTAGTGAATAAGCCACTGGTGGATGTGCTGCCCCAAAGCATTCAAGATTCTATCCTCATGGATATGTCATTGCCTGCATTTCAGAGCTGAAGAACGGAAAGAGAATCTTCAGCCAGCATCCCACTCTCAGGAAAGTATGCAGACAGGAGGCTTCGTAATACCCATAGACCAATTAAAAACAAAAAAAGAGAAAGAGAAAGCCTAGTTGGGTGTAAAAGGGAAAGAAGAGATGTTTGAAGAATATCATTTTCTTTCAGCCCATGTCATAACCTTAAATTATGCTAGTCATTTAATTTCCTGGGGTTTTGGTGGAAAAAACAAATTCAGCTTTCTTATTTTGGGCTTTCTTCTGCACATAGGTTCCTCTTATAACCAAAGTGCATTAAATTTCTAATTTCTGTGCAAATAGATTTTTTTGTATGACAACCAATAGTTTGTCCCAAAATTATAGGACCTATTAACTTCAGTATCAAATACTGTCACCACAGACTCTTAAGAAATTATGTGCAATCCCCCTTCATTGTTCTAAAATATAAATTCACTGAAGGGAAAGAGTGCTGAAGATGAGGAAAAAAAATACAGGAGTGGGGGGAAATCATTGGATTTTTCCTGGCAGTTGTTTCAAGAAAATGTTATGAATTGTGACTACCACAGAAATTCTTATTTTATATGTGCTTTCCTAACACTCCAGTACTTTATGCAGTTTCCCATCCTGTGTACCCCAAACAGGGAAAGGTATGTGGGAAATATTGATCTCTTCACCCCTGGGTATGATCAGAGCCTCAGGACTGATCACTGTTGAGCTCTTACTTCAGTTTACCCCAGCATACTAAAGAGATGTGTTTATTTTTTTCTTTGTGCTGTGAAGCTAAAAAAAAAAACTTGAGAGCCTGGTCATTATGCATCTAGCACTCAGCCTTTCAAAGCCCTTATGAAACCCAGGAGCAAATGAAAGAACTTCTAGAACACAACTTGAAGCCACCCAGGTCATTGGGCATTGTTGTTGACACTTTGCTAAACAGAGATATGCCATTGTGCTCAGCTCTCCCAACATAGAGGGAGAGAAGGGTGCAGTGATGGTCACTCTGTCTGGAGAGATTCTGATGTCTTGGGTCAATAACAGTATTGTTGGTTCTGATTCTGAATCCCCTCCAGCCTCTGCAGACACACACCCCTGAAATGAGGATGCAGAACAGGGATTCTCCACTTGGCTCTATTGGCATTGAGCCACGTAGGGGTTTTTGTTTGTTTGTTTGGTTGGTTGGTTGGGGGTAGGGAGGCTATCCTGTGCCTTCCCTCATCTTGCCCCCAGTGACAATGTCTCTAGGAATTTCCAAGTGTTCCCTGGAAGGGAAAAATTGCCCTGCTTGAGAAGAGTATTGCTGTAAGCCTCAGTATGTCCACACATGTCAGGTCTCACTACTTAGCTGCCACCAGCATTAAGTCATGCTGACCCCAAATAAAATTGGAGTGGGGAAGGGTCCAGGCTTTGCTGAAGGAGCATGTATGGTTTCTAAATAGGTTCCTTGGACCTCCATTCCAATGGTGTTCTAGTTCTCTTAAATTGAAAAGAAGTTAGATGGTCAATGTTAAGAGACAAAAATGGAAGGTATTTTAATGGACTTTTTAAAATAAAACTTTATTCATGAAATACAGGCCATTGAAATGATGTGTGTTTGTATAAATGAAACTATTTGGGATTGCCTACTGTACCTCTGCTCCTCAGGTTGGCATTTCCTGTGTGTCGTCCCCCTTTACCCTACTGCTGCTGGCAGAGACAGCGAGCTGATGGTAGAAAGAGGAGCTCCCAGGAAGCAGGCATGGCCATCCTCTGGGTGACAGGCCTACAGCACTGCTGTCCTTTCTCTGGGACTCAGAAGCCTTTCCTCCACCTCCCTCTCCACTCTCTAAACACCACCCTGAAGAAAGTCAAATTTGCCTCTGAAGAGTTTCTATACAAAGCCCAAGCCTCACTGTTATTCTTGGGTAGAAACTAAATAAGCAGAATGACCCAGACCCAAAAAAAAAAAAAAAAAATGAGGAAGAAGGCTGTGCATACTTGGTTCCTGAGCACAGATTTTTTCCATTAGTTGCCCTGGTGGTAATCTTTGCCTTTAGTCTATCATGTGAAGTTAGGGCTTCAGGAATAAGAAGAGGAGTTCTTGCTCATAAAATGTTTTAAACAATATTTTGGTACACATGTTAAGGTGTTATTTATTTTTTCTAATTATAATATGCCTGGTTTCTGTTCTCACGACTAAAAGGCTCAGGGGTCACTCTAGTTAAACTGGGCTAACTGGGCTGCACGAAATAACCACACAAGAGACACAAATACCTTTTTCTTTGGGGTTGCTGTGACGGCTCCTCTGACCTTAAGTGTCCGCAGAAAGAGAGAGAGCGAGAGCACATGCGCTGACCCCTTTTATTGAGGAGAAGCTATTCAAATGAGGCAAGGGGTCAGGTTTCAGGGGGCTGAGTCTATCTTCATGATGTCCACTGTCAGCAGGTTGACTGACACCTGGGTAGGCAACACCCAAGGGCACAGTAAGAGGAGGGGACACACACAAGGCACTTCCATGGAAGATTCTATCCTAAACAGGGCAAGGGGTTATATTACAAAGGAACAGGTGAGCATAGCTTCACCCATGGGGCTGTAGCAAGACACACCCATTTCTGTGACTGAGCGCCTCAGTACCCAGATGGGGAGTGTAACTCAGTCACCCATAAGCTTGGCCTCCCACAATAATACTAGTGTAAATAAAAGTAGTTGAAAGGTTAAAGGTTTTTTAGAAGCATTAGATTACAAAGAAATTGAAGGACTAACACTACGATAGCAAGACATAGTAATTCCATCTATAAACGGGGGTGGGGCAATAATACATAGGCTGGTTGAAGATTAAAATAAAGTGGTGCCTCATAAGGGGCCTGGCACCAAAATGGCAGTTATTTAATAGTACAAATAAAGGACCAGTTCTCAAGAATGTACTTTAAAAATTCTGACATTAGTAAACTAAGAACTTCACACTACCTTTCTGGCTTAGCAGTCGAGTCACTATTGTTGAAATTCTATAGACATTTTTAATCCTCATCATCTCTGACAAGAAATCCCAATTAATGTTTCAGGAAAAAAAAAAATAGGAAATGACCCCACCAAAGATTCCTGAATGTCAAGTGATATTAAAGTCAACTCAAACATACATTTCTCTTTCCTTCTATGCAGGAATTGACAGATGTATGTTCAAAGTAGAATGTAAGTGTGTTTGCATATTCTTTATTTAAGTCAAACCTGTTCTTACTACTACAGAAACTGCAACGGGACAGTGAGGAACCATGCGGGTTAACTGACCTCTCCTGTAACTTAAAATTACTGTGTATGCAGTTACACAAGAAGGATCTCTTGGAGGAAAAATTACACAATATGTAAGGAAGCTATTATCTCAGATTGTTCTTGCCAAGGCTAAATCAGTAGCCACAAATTTTGCCAAGTGTTCCCAGTTAAGGGAGACTACAGTGGTAGCCAGGCTTAAAAGTATAGCTGTTTTTTTTTTTTTTTTTTCTCTTCTGAACTTTCAGTTGTAGATGTTTGGAACCTTTATAAAGCTATATGCCTTAAAAAATAATGACAAAATACACAGAACTTTTACCATCTTAACTATTTTAAGTGCACAGTTCAGGAGCATTAAATGCATTCACATTGCTGTGTACTCACCACCACCATCCAGCTACAGAACTCTTTATTTTGCAGCACTGAAACTGTGTATTAGACACTAACTCCACATTCCCCTCACCCTGGCAGCTCTTGGAAATTCCCATTCTAGTCCGAATTGGACAACTCTAGGAACCTCATGTACAAGGTCCTCATGGTTCACCCATATTTAGCATGTGTCAATATTTCCTTTTAAGACTTAGGGATTAGATCAGAAACCCTACACATACACTCCAACATACAGGCTCAGGAACTGACTTCCTTAATAAGATCCCTAAAGTGCAAGAAATAAAATCAATAAATGGGATGGCATCAAACTAAAAAGCTTCTTCACAGCAAAGGAAACAAGTGCATGAAGAGGGAGCCTATAGAATGGGAGAAAATCTTTGCCACCTGCACCTCAGAGCACTAATTTCCAGGATTTATAAAGAACACAAAAAACTTAACACAAAAAAAAATTCAATTAATAAATGGGGAAAGGACCTGAACAGGCACTTCACAGAAGAGATGTGAGCGGTCAACAAATATATGAAAAAATGTCCAACATCCCTAGCAATTAGAGAAATGCAAATTAAAATCACACTGAGATTCCATCACACTCCAGTCAGAATGGCAATTATCAAGAATACAAGTAACAATGTTGGCAAAGATGTAGAGAAAAAGTTACACTTATACATTGTGGGATTGCAAATTGGTGCAACCACTCTAGAAAGCAGTATAGCAATTCCTCAAAAAACTTGGAATGGAGCCACCATTTAACCCAGTTATCCCACTCCTCCTTTTATCCACAGGAGTTAAAATCAATGTACTACAGTGATGCATCCACATCACTAGTTTCACAATAGCTAAGCTATGGAACCAAACTAGGTGCCCTTCAACAAATGAATAAAGAAAATGTGGTACATATACACTGGAATATTACTTAACCATAAAGAAGAATGGCTTTATGACATTTACCAGCAAATGAAGGATCTGGAGACTATCATGCTAAGTGAAGTAAGCCAGTCCCCAGAAACCAAAGCAGAAACTAAAGGTCGAAAGTTTCCTCTGTTAGGTGGAAGCTAACCCACAATAAGAGGCAGAGGTGGGAGGGGGGATAGAAGTTAAGTGGATTCAACAATGGGGAATAGAGGGAAGGAGGGGGCATAAGCAAATACAGTGGAATGAATCTGACAATTTTTCATGTACCATGCAAACAACACAGTGAATCCCACCACCATGTTCATCCATAAGAATGGGACTTTTAACCAAAAATAAAATACATTCCATGCTTGTATAATTATATCAAAATGGATTCTGCTGTCATGTATAAAAAGAACCAGTTTAAAAAACAAACAAAAAAAATATTTCCTTGTTAAAGCTGAGTAATATTCCATGGCATAGATGCACCACATTTTATCAATTAGTCAGTTGATGAGCACTTGGGTTGCTTCTACTTTTTGGCTCTTATGAATAATGCTGTTATGAACACTGGTGCACAAATATCTGAAGCCCTCCTTGTTTTGGATGTATACTCAAAAGCAGAATTGCTGGATCATAGGGTGATTCTCTATTTAACCTTTTTTAAGGAACCGAGATCTTCTTGACCACAGCAGCTGAGCCATTTTGCATTCCCACCAGCAGTGCACAGAATGTTAATTTCTCAACATCTTGAGCAACACTAACTTCTTTTTATAAAAATTGTAACTATATTAATGGATATAAATGGCTTACAGAAAAAAAAAAAAAAAACATTAGATTCCACCATCCCTAAATGAGAACGTACTCCATCCCACCTTTAGCACCAGCTATGCATCAAGGATTAATTAATTAATAATTAATCTGTCGGAAGCTCGGCCTGGGTGCCCACCAGGTGAAGGCAGGATGGCCAGTGACCTCACTTCCCCAGGGGCCTTGGTCATCACTATAGCAAACAGGTAGGAGGAGGTGACATAGACTGGGACATCGTGCCTGTGGGCCAGAGAGAGCCCCTAAGAAAAGATCCAGTCTCGCCAGCTTCTGATGGGTTTAGGCAAAGGCTGTGTGCGGGGCGTGGCAGGCTGGCAGAGGACGTGACGGCAAGCTAGGCCAGGCTGGTGTAGAGGGGTGTGGCCCGGCACAGCTGGGCGCCTCGGGGGCGTGGCGGACGGGGGCGGAGCTAGCAGGGGCGGGCATAAGGTCCTGCGCTTGCGCGTTTCCAGAGGCGGCGCAACATAGGAACATGGTGGTGAGGCTGTGCTCCCGAGGCGGGCTGCTACCGCGGCTGCTCTTCTCGCCTCAGAAGCCCAAGATTTACGTCCCCACGGCTGGGCGCAAGGCCGCGTACGGGTAATGGCGCCCTCCTGCCGTCGGGGAGCCCCAGCGTTGCGCGCTCTGGGGGGCAGCGGGAGGGGCGCGCTGACCCAGGTGGACCCGGCTGCAAAGATGGGGGTCGTGGGCGAGGTCTGGCCTCCTTGTGGCCCTTGATTTCCCTAGATCCCGCATCCGGGAGCACTGAACTGTGCCTAGGCCTCACATCTGTGACTCTGGAGCTTAGGGGACGAGACTGTCATCTGTGTGCAGACGCAGGGGGCCCCGAGAGGTAAATTTGCTATTAGTCACAACTAACTGGTGAGGAAGCAGATTGTAAGCCCATGGCCCTTTTTCTTAGCCGGTTCCTCTTTCAAGACTTTACATCGTGAGGTTGAGAACAGTAATCTCTTGTGCTGCTAGGTTTTTTGTTTGTTTGTTTGTTTGTTTTATTTTTTGTCACACTGAGGTATAGCCCTAGCTTTTCATTTTGAGACCGTCTTGCTAAATTGCTTAGGGTCTTGATAGTGGCTGACCTCGAACTTGCGATCCTCCTGCCTCAGCCTCCAAAATCCTTGGGATTACAGGAGTGCCTTCTCCTACTTCTTATATCAGAAATCTGCCTGAATATATCTGGGGCCTATTAGCTGGCATAAAACTGATCAGGCTTAAGTCATGAAT